AAAAACCCCCATTGATTTTTAAACCACTCCCATTCCCCCCATTATTCCCAAAACCGTTTCTAACATTCCCTAACCCCCCAAATCACTCCAAAACTCCTCCTTCATATCATTCGTTCCATAATTTCCCACAATCCCTTCCATACAAAAACAACCCATCCCATAATCTAATACAAAGGGTCCGGTGTTTGGTCAGTAACGAAGAGGTGACTCCTTCGTATTGCTACGCATAGTATCATCACACAATCACCCCACTCTTTATTGCTTGTAAGGTAATAGACTTTCCCTTCACTTTGAATTTCGATTCATAGATTGAATATAGAGAGTCGGGAGTTGGGTCTTGACCTTGGGTATTTACTAGATGAAATTGCATGTTAAACTTGACTAGTACAATGCCCTTGGAACGATAGATAGTGATTGTGTAGCATTATTGTATGTGATCGTAATAACTATATTCTAGTTTCGACTTATGGTTCCACAACTAGTCTAAATTGTTTCGTATAATAATCGGTCAGAATCTTAAGAATGATGAACTAGCATAATTTAATATTGTAAATGCATCATAATATTGTGTGGGTGTTGGAAACTCAGGCTAAAAATGTAGGATACCTGGCACAGATGACATCCACGATACCCCGTCTACAGAACGTAGATCCATCTACGGACCGTAGATGGGGTTCGTAACTGGATGCACATGAAAATTTTCACAAAGTGTGAAACCACGGCGGTGGACTACGGTCTGTAGATCCATCTACGGACCGTTCTGCACTTCCGTGGTTTTTATCTGCGACCTATATGCAGGCTCCCTGATCAACGGACCGTAGATTAGTCTACGGACCGTAGTTCTCCTCCGTGGATGACCACTGTAGCATCTGTCAATTTTTTTTGGGGACTTAGTTGAGGGTATTTACCAATTCTAAAAGTTTCTTTTGCTGCATATGGTTAGTTTTGGCACTAATATCGTTCCCGCAGGTACGATGGCACCCAAGAAGATGGTCACCTACTCAAAACGGGGCAAGTCCAAATCTATTGCCCCTAGTTTCCGGTTAATTGATGAGGACACAGATGCCGACACTGATCCAACATATGAGCCTCTCAACCCTAGGACTTCTCGCGCTGCACCCAGAGGCACCTCCGGAAGGTGTTTCCTGACGTAGTCACTGTCTCCCAGTCTGATGAGGAGCACACACTGATCGGGTCACCAACTGGGGCTGCTTCCAGTTCAGAGGGGTCTATGTCCGGACCTGAGTCCGACCATGCTTCAGGCTCCGGTGCTAAATCAGCCACAACATCTGGCGAGAATGACCAAGCATACTCGTCTGATGAGGTAACTAGCTCAGAGTCCATACCGGTACCACGGAATGATGACCCCCACTCCAGTAGCTGCTGAGCCTAATAGATGGTGCGTAGACGGCCAATGGCAAATATATAGGGATGCCAAGATGATTAATGACAAACAGAAAATGGCCCGAATTATTACAGAGGAGCGCAGAGTCCTCACAGGGAGCTTGCACACTGTCCCGGACATCCATCGGCTATTCAACATTCACAGGTGTGACTGGATGGCGCGTGACCCAGGGACGTATAGTGAGGAGATGGTGCGAGAGTTCTATGCCTCATATGCCGCAACTCTCCGCGGTGCGATTACCAAAAGGTCAAAGCCCTTAGCCCAAGATCCTCTCACTTCCACTATGGTCCGAGGTTGTCCGGTGGACATATCACCTGCCACCATTAGTTGTTTCTCTATGGTCCTACCACGGGTCACTCTTGGTCTCTTAACACTTAAGAGTTCGACTACCGATGGGACATCGTACGGAGTGGTGCTCTCCAGAGGAACGTTGAGCAGCGAGAGGCTGTTATATTATAGTTGGCCAGATACATTGCTGCAGATGGCAAGCGTGCGGAATGGGTCGCCACTCCACGGTAAGGGATCCGAAAGGCCGCATTAACTTTTGTGGCCAAGTTCTTCTGGCTGCTGGTACGGAACAGAGTGTCGCCGACTAAAGCTGATAATCACGTCACTTGCGACCGAGCGGTCATGGTTGCAACATTGGTAGTAGGCGTCGAGATCGACTTTGCCCGCATGCTGCTGGCAGAAATTCACGAGAGGGCCTTCAGGACCTCCACCACTTACCCCTTCCCATG